TCTGTTTTCCTATGTTTTTTTTTATTTCTCCAAAGTCGTTCTCGAACAACATTAGCAGAATCCTTCTTTTTTTTTTTTACACTTTAATGACAAGGTTGTAAATTCTAATGATGCAAGGTTAAATGTAGCAGATCACCACATCTCAGACGGTGAAAATGTAACTTCACTTGCAAAATAGGATTTTAATATTTTGGACAGATGCTTATAGAAGCAATCAATCATCATTTTTTTTATGACACCATCAGATAAAAATTAAAACAGTCATGGGTTCATCACGATGAAACTTCATAAAGTTGCAGCTAATTTCCTCTCTGACGAGCTAAATGGCAGATTGTGTAGGCTAATTAGCATAGGATAGCTAATTAAAGTGCTGGTCTGTGAATGTGTGTGCAAGTCATTTGTCAGACACGCCGCAGGAGAACTAATTTAAAGGGGTTTTAGATGATGAGCAACGTGTCAGTCTTTTTGTAAGCTAGTGTGTGTGGGTGGAGGGTGGAGAGGAGTTTGGCAGCTGAATCATAGACAGGATGGAGAAACCTGCCAGTAACAGGAATCATCGCCTGCCAGAAGCTGACTGGTCAGTTTATATTTAAGTCTGAGGCTAAAAAAAATATTTTCCTATTAATTTAAATTTGCTACAACAATATAAATGACAACACATCCAAAATGCTACAGATTAAAGGAGATTATAGCAGCTACTTTGCTTGCTCCCTCAATTGCTTATGTTTTAAAATTTCCTCAGACTAATCCTAAAGGGTTCAAATGAAGGCAACTGGACTTCTTTGGTTTCTGGAAGACACGTTGCTTCTCATCTAAAGAGCTTTGTCAGATCTGGCTGGAATATATGAGTCAACCTTATAAACTGTAGCTGTCTGTTGTTGCTTAATGAGCTGAACCTACCTATGAACACCCCCCCTCCCCCCCCCACACACACACACCCACACCCCACCCACCCCCCAAAGTGCTGATTTAAACGATTTCAACAACTCCTCAGGGGGGAGAATAGAATAGAATAGAATAGAATAGAATAGAATAGAATAGAACATACTTCATTGATCCCACTTGTTACAAGGACCAACACTTAAGACATTAATAAAAAAGAAGAAGAAGAACGAGAGGAGGGGTATTCATAGGTGGTTTCAGCTCATTAAGCAACAACAGACAGCTGTAGTTTATAAGCTCAACTCTCCCATATCTCTGTCAGAATTGACAAAGCTCCTTGGATGAGAAGCTATATGTTTATAAGAAGTCCAGTTGCCTTCGTTCGAACCCTGTGATCTGGATGACTGAGAACTTTCATCAGCATTTTTCTTCAAACTACTTTCCAGGGTTTTGTTTTTTTAACCTCCTGTTGGAATATTTGTCCTGTCTTGTAACTCACACCCTTCAGCCGTTCATTAGTCAACAACACCAAAGTGAAAATAAGACCCATTTATATTCTAAAGCCTTCATAACATTTAATTTCAGGCAGAATGTAATACTTAAATTATTGATTTTCCATATTCTCAAATGGTTCATCCGACCCAATTTTTCTAAATAAAATGATTTAACTGAAATGTCTGATGTTTTATAATATTTCACAGATGAAACAGAATTTTCTAAATCCTACTAAAATCTGAAATCATTACTGGTTGATTGCGCTCTTTGCCCTTTTGTCGGAAACTTAGCAATGACTCTTGAAAGTTATTTTAGGTTGTGCAGTAAAAAGAACGTTTTTAATCAGAGGATTCTTGCTAATATTAACCCTCTCAGGCTCAAAATAAGTTTTGATTAAAGGACAAACAACTAAGTTCTTCAGGGGAACTTCTGAGTTAAAAAATGCTCATGAAATACGTATGTGGAGTAGCCAGGTAGGTAGGATTTAACGTTGCAAATCTGCAACGCCTGCCTCCAGAGGGGTAAGACCAGTTTACCTGGAAACAATGTTTTGAATGAGGGCTGCACGTTTCCATGCATCCAGTTTAAAATGTTGTTTCTAAAACACATGAGGGAAATGCACGTGAATGTTTGGCTGATGTGTTGCATCGTCACGGTCCAGTCAGATCGTCGGGGTCAACGTCCTATGTGCATGGGTTATGGAGCCCCTTGCTTGAACCAAAGAAACTTTTAATTTAATTCAAGATACACTTCTTTGCATCTGATTATAATCCCAGTTGTCATTGGCATCAGTTTATACACATTTATATATTTGAACATTTAAACCTTTTATTTTTTTGTTCCTGTTTATTATGTTTTTGTTCCTGTTTTTTTTACATTCATATTGGATGCTTTCAGATAGCATTATACCGAAGTGTGTGTACACGGCACAGAGAGTTTTCTGTAAAACGTCTGCATAAATAAATCTGAACTTGGCCCAATGATAAAGATAATTTAAAAGGAACATTTCTGGACAAACACGTGATGAATTGGATGTGACCCTGACCACTTGGCTCCGAGTGCGCATCAATCTGCTCAAAGGAGCTGACAGTGTTTTTTTTCTGCCACATTTCACCTGAAAATACATCGGGCTTCAACAACTGCGTTGATTGTTCAAACAGCTGGAAAAACTTTATTTTGCACACACAAGTAATTTCAAGGCAAAGAGGTGTGAAATGCCTGCCATAAATCCATCATCGCATTTTCTTTCTCTGCACTTTAATACTCTGGTAATGACATTTCCCTTCTTTGTAATGGGTTTCTGGAGGCCTGTGCTGATGACAGCACATCTCAGTTTTGTTGCCAAGCAAAAACCTAAAGTCCCCTCCGGTGTCATAAAGGTAACAACAGAACTCCCAAGTGTGAAAGTAACAGATGGCAGCAGAAGATGGCTCCGCCCGTTAATTGAAAGGCCACAGCCACCTCACACAATCAGCCCAGTCCGTCTGTGATTATAGATGCGACTTTGTGTCCCAGAATACAAATCCACCACAGACTCTGTACCCTCTGGTGGCTCTTTAAGAGCAGGTAAGGAATGACCATGATGAGTTTTCAGCCTCCTTAGGGTCCTCATTATGTGTGACAGTGAAAACCGAACCCCGCACTTTTTCCAGCTCAAACTTTCTCCATGTTTTAATGATTCTGGAGCATCCTAGTTATGCCGTTTTCTGCTTCCTTGCGTATCAGTTGTGTTTCACCTGATAGATTCAGTGTGAGACTGAATGTGTTACTTGAAACCGACTGTTTGTGTTTTGGACATTAATTAGGTTTGTTTGCTGTGAAATGCCACGGGGGTGCAAGGCAGCACCAACCTACATAGTGTTGCATCCTTTGTATCGTGTCTTGTTGGAGTCCTATTGAAAATAGCAAAGAGTAAGCATCTTCTCCTTGGATTTCAAAAGAATACAAGGGATTATTTATTGGGATTAAAACCCTGAACAAATGCAGGAAACAGCTCAAGATTTATGAGATTATATTCATTTGATGAAAATTCTGGATTTCCTGCTGATCTGCTGCTCTGTGTTGCATGTTGTCCAGCAATATGTTCATTTTCTAATAGGAGCTATGTGTACAGCTGTGACTGACAATCACACACACACATACACACACACAGAGAGAGAGAGAGACAGGGAGCTACAGGATGTCCGATCACTGCCAAGCCAAAGCATGCAACATGATTTTTTTTGTCTCTTTTTTTTCACATGAACACAGATGCATTACATGTGTCAACAAGAAGGTTCACCAGAATCCAACATGGGGAAGACCCTACTCTACACACACTGATGCATTATGGTAGTTTTACACAAATAAGTAAACGTTTCTCACATGGTAAAAGTCGCACATTTTGAAATCAGTGTGACCACATTGTGGAGACAAGCCTGAATGAGGTGAGCATGAGCGATGATGGATGCAATGAGGAGCAGGTGCTGGGATGTGAGGATGCAACGTGAAGAGATGATCAACCAGTCACTGACAACAATGCGGAAATACAGAAATCAACTTCAACAGCACACAGCTTTCTAAAAGAGATAAGACGCAACAAGAACAAAAGAACGAAAACAAAAGGGGACAAAAACCACAAGCTGCTTTCTGTCTCGGCCCCAGGGGTCTGGTTTTCAAGTGGTTTGCTTCAAAGTTCGGCAGGGGTGGGGGGTGTTGTTGGGGAGTTTGCAAAGACTTTCTGTTGTGTTCTTTGTGCTTTTTGTTAAAGGCCTGTAAGCATAACAAGCTCAGACACTTTCCATCAAGCAAATTTCTACCTGTTGAGCTTTTTCTTTGTTTCTGGTCCGTGTTCACCTCGCCTCTTATGAGAGTGTAGCCATTACCTGAAGCACTTCTTATAGAGTCAGAAATAATGGAGCCTTTTTGGTGCTGTAGCGGACCTGGCCTCCAGCTTGTTCAAAGTGGGTCCGCGATGGCGTTTGTTGCTCTTCAGCCATGTTTCGTGTCTAGCTCCGCAGAGGTTATGGGTTGCTACCAATGGATTTGGTCATTTGCTGTTGCTACAAAGCAATCCTGCAAAACGTGTGGCTCACAACTAACAACTGTCCCACAGAAGGCTTAACTGCTGCCATAGATAGGCTTTAGCAGGATGAGTGCTATAATTTTCAGCACATCTCTGATGATAAAGCAGGCCAAGACAATAACCCAATATCTAGTCTGCCTATGCAGAAATAAATATTCACTAATGCATCTCTTTCAGATTCACCTACAGACAGTTAACGGTAATCCAAACAGGAAGTGAATGCAGCAGCTAATCGTGACCACGTCAGATTAATGTTTTAAACTCACCTGAGAATATCTCATTTGACATATTACAGTAATTCCTGTATTCCATATTAGTGTTTAGGTTAGAAGGAGACCTAGTTTCCTCTCTAGAATACCTTGAAGCATTTACAACCACTTCAACCCAGACACCACTGCAGGGGTAGTCGAGTGGACTAGGCTTTGCTACTGAAGCGCTGCTGTTAACAGGATGCATGATAAGAGGCTGCAGATTGAGAGTTACAGGAAATAAAAATACTGTCAAAAGAATAAACACATGAACTAAATGTGAAAATGTTTCTAGGCGTTGATCATCTTACCTGGGGACACAAGCAGAGGAGGTCTCCCCCTCAGGGGCGTCTGGGGCGGGGCAGCAGAACTGGTGAAGCACTGTTGGGTTGCTGTGTGAAGAAAAATGAAAGCAGACTAAATAACAAGGATTCATTTTATTTGGAAACATTTTTTTTATTCAACTTGGAAATTTTGGACCACAAAGGAATGAACAAATCAAAGATGTTGTGGTTCAAATGTTTTTCTAATTTTAGCAAGTTTACAAAAAAGAACACAAACTTCTGTAAGACCCAGTAGATTTGATTGACAGCACGTGTGTGTAAACACTTTGCTTGTTTTCTTATGAAAAATGTAAAGCAGGTATTTTATCGACAAAATGCACATTTTTATTTTCTAATCTAAATCTTTTCAAGCCAAACAACACTTGAACCTGGAGTGACATCTTAGGTAAGCATTACAAAAGAAGGAGAGGAGGCCTAAAGCTAGAATGCACTTCCCAGCTTTTGATGAGTTGGCTGTGTTCATTTGATTTTTGAGACTTAACCTTCTCAGTGACCTAGTGGTAGTCCTGGGACTGGTACATCGGGGTTCAAATCCCAGTCGGGTCCAGTGTTGCCGCAGTTACCTTGAAATAGTAATCTGATTACTGACTACTGATTACTCCTTCCAAAAGTAACTTCGTTACTTTACTGATTCATTCATTTAAAAAGTAACCAAGTTAGATTACGAGTTACCTTATTACTTACTTTCAGCATCTACCAAAAACACTCTCCACTGCCTCAACATGAAAACTACAACATGGTTTTGCCAACACTCATATAGCGAATGCTTTTTAACAGTGATGTCAACCACACATCTTCTTACATTTTAAGTTGAACTTAAAACCTATTGCCTGACATAATGCATGTTTGTATAAAAATAAAATAAAAACAGTCTTTCTTGACCTCACTTAAAATAAATAGTACTCATAAAAAATAAAACACACAGAGCCAGCACAGAGTGTACAACGAACCTTAATATTTTCATCTTTAGCTGATACAAACTCAAAATAGTGACTATATTTCCAGCTAGAAAACACACCTCACTCTCCTCCCGCCATTGTTGATCACGCTGTAGAATAAGGGGTCGGCAACCTTTTCCCATCAAATATCCATTATTACCTGTTTCCCACAGTAAAGAAAACACAGAGCCGCAGCAGCGTTGTGGGCGGGGCATACCCTAAGACAGCCGAGAGCTGCTTCAACTGATCACAACAGGTGACAGCAACCAATACCATTCACTCAAGTACCTTAAAGTCATCTTTCAATAGATAATAAATAAAACAGTTTGTATAAAATTGACCCAGAACTTGTCGCCGTCTATCTACTTAGATATTTTTCATCCTGTTAGCGGTTTTAATGTTGAGCAGGTGACGCTTTTTGACGCGTCACACGTCTCCTTTTAAACATGTTTTGTTTTGGAAGAGTTGTGCGACACAACGAATCGATGACGCAATTTGTTGCCAACGCTTTTAGTAATCGATTTTCATCAAATTTATCGATTCGTTGTTGCAGCCCTACCGTCAACCGTTGGACTTGTTCAGGTTTACGCAGACATGTCACGTTCAGAGTTTGGAGGAGGTTTGGACCCAAAATGCAGACACTCAGAACAACATGAGGCAGGAGTGGATGTAAATGAAAACATTCCTTTATTAGGAAGGAGAAAAATATTTCCAAAAGGGCAGGAAGCCAAAACCCAATGTCCTTAAACCCATGAGAATGTAAGCTCACTTAAGAACACAAAACCTAGAGACCTAGTGACGAGGAACAAAACAACTCTGGCACAAAACAATGGACCAAAAAAACATTGAGACGCAGACAGGGCTTTATACACTGGGGAGGATGAGAGGGAGATGAACTGCAGGTGTGTGGGGAGAGAGAGACCAGGTGAACTGAGTTACTAATCAGGGAGGAAACTAACATGGCCTAAGAATAAACCCTAAAGACAAGAAGAGCAGGAAACATAACTTAATAATCTGGGGGGGGGGGGGGGGGGGGGGGGGAGAAAAACCTCAAACACCGATGGGAAAAACACACTAGAGAGACTAATAACATGAGCAGCAGTAGCTAAAGGAAAATGACTTAAGAGAAAAACCTAAAGACCAGAAGGGCAGAAAACATAACTAATATTCTAAGGGAGGAGCTGAAACTAAAGGAAAAACACTACAGAAAGAAAAAACTACAGGGGTGTGAATAAGGGGGCCACGGGAGCACAGGACCTGGGAGGGGGATATCTGAGGAGGGAAACCTAGAGGGCTGAAGAGCTGGGGAAAAATGGAGAACACCAGGAGACACATGAGGAAGACACAGACAAGGACACATGAGGGCGCTAGGAGACACAAAAGGAGAACCTAGAGAGGGATGGAGAACACCAGGAGACACATGAGGGGAGACGCAGACACAGACCATGACAAGACAATCTATACATTTAGAATTGGCATACAGATACAAATGAATGCAGTAAAATAAAATATATTTGAATTAAATATTCATTAATTATTTTACAAGCAGAGTGCCACATCAGATGGATGAATGAGCCGCATGCGGATCCAGAGTGCATTATGGGTAGCCAGCTTTCCAGTTTTATGTTCTTTATTGTATATTTTGTTGGGGTTTTATTGCAGGGTTGTCCTTGATGTTTTAGTCGTTTATTCAGTAATATGACTGTACTTTTTTTAGTTGGTTTTAATTTTGCACCGCGAGTGAGAGTTATATTCCAACAAATGGCATTGCGGTGCGGTTTAGTTATTTGGTGAAACAATACACTGCTTCCCATGTGCAAGGAAAGTGTGCGTTGATTGGTCAAATGCATTATGCAAAGCTGATCTTGACTCCTCCTCTGCCATGTTTTTTTTCCTTTAATCAGGATTTTCCCAAGCAGAAAAAAATCAGAGTTACGGATAAAATAACGCAGAATAGTCTTACCAAGAAATGACGTTATACTAGTATCACTGGTCGGGTCATACCAAAGACTTTATGAAAATGGAACCCAATTCCTCCCTGCTTGACACCACATTAAGGGGTTAGTTTGAGGGGTCACGGAGAAAACTACAAAATAAATTGCGTTAATAATTAGCATAAACTCACCATCTTGCCCCAAAACCGCAGATATGTCACTACATGCGTTATCCTTCTTGACGTTGTCTTTATAAAAACTGTGACTGGGATCAAACAAGATTGGATACTTCTCCACTTCAGTAATAAACCTTTCGTCATCCATTATGGAAAAACAAAGGAGACCGCTAGCGAGGTGATAACTTTTTTTTTAAGTAAAGCAACCAGAAGGCTGTACGTTTCTTTATTCTGAAAATCTCAGGAAGCTTTGCTCTGTTTCCGCGTCAGATTTCCTGTCTTTCCTTCCCCAAAAATGTCGAACTTGACCCGTTTCAGAGGCGTAGAGTGTAGAAAATAGAACCGGCGCGTAAGGGCCGCGACATCCTGCTCCTGAGGCGCGGCCGACTCGCGCTGCTGACGGCTCCGGAGGAAAAGGTTCTGTTGACCACAGCGGTTCCTATCAGCAGCTATGACGTGCTGCTGCAGTAACGTGCTGCTGACGGCTCCGTCACGGCTCCGGTGGAAAGGAGGGGTCAAACCAAATAGTTCCCGAGCGCAGCCACTGCTGCTGCTCACTGCTGCAGCTCCCTGCTGGGTCAAATGAGAGATGTCATTTCACCAGTGTGTGATGATGTCCATGGTGCTGACACACTGAACCTAAAAGTTTTCTCATTCCAAGGTTTGTCTGGTAGACAACAAAACTTATTTAAAAATCTATTTAAAAACCTGGACAGCTACAACAATGAATGACCCGCACTTGTATAGCGCCTCTCAGAGGAAGGACTCCAAAGCGCTTTACACTACAGTGTATCATTCATCCATTCACACACATATTCACACACTGATGGTGATGAGCTACGATGTAGTCACAGCTGCCCTGGGGCGCACTGACAGAGGCGAGGCTGCCGAGCACAGGTGCCACCGGTCCCTCCGACCACCACCAGCAGGCAAGGTGGGTTAAGTGTCTTGCCCAAGGACACAAGAGCAGCATTCTCTGTCCGGAGCCGGGATCGAACCTGCAACCTTCTGATTACTGGACAACCGATTACTGGTCACAATATAAACATATGTGGCAATATATGTATAATTGTCATATTTCTGTTAACATAAAAGAACCTATGTGTGGGAGAGTACCTGGTCTTCTCCTATATAACTAGTGAGGTGTATAAAAATACACTCACATGGAGGACGGTGAAGCTAAAATGGAAAGAGCACAGTTATAAAAGTTTAATGTGTAAGAAAGCTTTCTCTTTTATCCCTTTTCTAACTGGACACTGGATCACATTTTCCAACATTCATCCACGTCTTCCTTCAGTTTCACCTTCTTGCAGAAAAGCTTTCCATCCCACCCCCCACCACCCTGTGTGCAGGGTCCAGCAGACAGTGAGTGTTGTGCTAAAGAGGAACATGCTCAATTACTCATGCTGTCAGAAGATGTGGCCAGCTCTCCACGTGCTCTGAAGTGCTTGAAACAGGATGTTGAGAGAAGGGCACAAGCAAGAGAACCAAGCAGCCACAATGCCACTTAATCACTGAAACTGAGCACAACAAGAACTGATGGCTAGGAGCAGTAGCTCCTTAATCTCCTTATAAAGTGAAATACTTATTACACAGAGAAGAGTGAGCTTGAAAATCAAATTGGACCTCCCAAAAAAGCTAAATCCTGTTTTTTTCCTCTTTAAAAGTGAATATAGATCATGAGGGGGAGGTGTCAGAGTGTTTTCATGCAACAATAACAGATAGAAGAGGGAGGGTATGACAGCAAATTAATTTTCATTGTTAATGGCTGCTCTAATTGTGTTCGCTTGAACAACCGTGACGCCACTGTGGCCTTTTTAATAGGTCCAGAACACAGCCGGTCTCCGAGGGGACGTAGATTAGTGGGAGTGTTGGAGCAGCGCAGACACTTGTTCATGCAGATAAAGGTCGTATATTCTGCTTGCCGCTGAGAAAACACTCGAATCAGCTGTGTTACACCAATGCTGCTGTGAGCTCACATGTTTGCTGAACATTCACAG